CCTAAAACATTCTCTTGTAATATATAGCAACTGCTTTAATTAGAAACTCTGACACTTGTGTAAACAGAACTGGAAAAAAGAAATATTTACAGAGTGTACTTGTTAAAAGCAAAACAAACTAAAGATACTGTGAAAACACTCATGAGTTATGGAGATTAGCACATCATTATGAAGAAATGCATGAGGTATAGCCATACCCTATTTTTCCAAAATAGTTTAAAGGGAAAAGAACCTAAAATTACATTGTTTAGGGATACAAGTATGTTGCAAAACTCTCTCACAAAAGACCAGATGACTAGTGGCCACAAATCTGCTAGACTAGAACATTAGCTCAGGAAGAAGAGGCACCGTGGAGCTGGCCAGACAGTGAACTCAGGAAAAGATACAAGTCTTGGTAGCGTTCTAGTTCTTTGTTTTTTTTTAGAAGTCATACATTTTCATTATGTTTTATTCTTTTATAACATACCTTGATATCTACTCTTATGTTATTAAGCATATTTTTTGTTGATCAGCCATAAAGTATAAACTGTTAGACATTTTGACTTTTATATTCACAGGAAAGAATGATTACCACCAACACAGTACAACCATCAATTCCTATATTTCTGTCCTCTCTGGCAGTGACCTCTGCTTCTTTTAAACATTTTAGAACATTTTTAAATGAAAAAACCCCACAGCTAAACCGATCTTGTAAGGTTAATTGTACACATTTTACAAAATGTTTCCTTAAAATTCCTGGAGGCTGTATGTAAACCAGAAAGCACCCTAAAACCAGTCATGCAATTACTGATTAAGCACAAATATTTTGATATTTTACATTAAATAAACAAAATTCCAAATTTGGTTTAAAAGAAGCATTTAGGGCTGGTGAGATGGTGCAGCTATTAAAGGACAAGGCTAACAGCCAAAAAGCATGAAAGAAGCATGTAGTCTGGTTTCTAGGAGCCACCTGGACTTGATGGTTGAGCTGGTGAGCATGCCTGGCCTGGAGGTGCCCACAGAGCCCCATCTCCCTCCTGAAGCCTTCACAACTCTGGGTGCTGACTGTAAATCCCAGTGCTTTATTTAATCAAGGGGCTAGCACAGGCTCGCCAAGTAAACTTAAAATGACTTCCAGCTTGATATTCTTCCACACTGGTTAATGGATTAACAGAAACTTTTAAACACTCTTAGAAGAGCAGAAAGGGACACAGAATCCCGAGAGACCCACTGGAGAGGGACTCCACCTGCAGGAGCATTGGGGGTTGACGGGGCCTGACACTGAACAGGTAGGCCAGGCCTCTGCTCTGTTTGTCAGGTTCTCAGTTACTTAAAAAACTGATTAACAGAGTCAAGCTGTATTTAACAATCTTTTTGGTAAGCTTTCTAACTGCTGCACAATTGGAAGCTTCTACCTAAGCTCCAGGTTGATGGCTTCATGTCCTACAACTAAAGTATATGGAGTCTTCAGCAATAGGGTCTTACCGTCTGGTTCTGGTGTACAACCAAGAGCAAGCCAGGGTAATGACCTGTATATATGTGGGGGGGGCCCTCTAGGATCTGCCAGAGTAACAACTCATGAGGAAGCATCTCATGCCTGGTGCTAGGATTTTCATTTAATAACCTATGGCATTGGGGAACAATGTTATCCTCCCATGTGGGGTGCCTCCATTCAAATTTCTTTTTCATTTCATTTTATTTATTTTAGTTCAGTTTTTGAGACAGGGTCTCCCTGTAGCCCTAGCTGGCCTGGAACTCACTATGTAGACCAGGCTGGCCTCACTCTCAAAGAGATTCAACTGTCTCTGCCTACCAGGTAATAGGATTAAAGGCGTGTGCCACCATTTCCAGCTTTTATTTTTTATGACATTTTAATAGCTACAAAGTACTGGGTTTCTATAAGTTTTTCTCATACATCCCTAGTTGCTCAGATGAGGCATGAACTTGCTATGTAGCCCAAGTAGGCCTTCATCTTGTAACCCTCCTGCCTTAGTCTTCTGAGTAGCTGAAAGCACAGGTGTGTGAAACCTAGAAGTTTATTTTATATTTTATTTTATATGTTTACCTGTATAACATATGAAGATGCTCAAGGCTTAGAGTTCTGTAGCACCTTGTTATTTCTGTGTTACTCAGTAGTTCTTACTAAGGTACTTGAAAGACTTAATGTTTTTCATCCAGCATTTTGGTTGTTTTATTTCTTTATTATTATTATTTTATTTTATTTTTTTTATGTGTATGAGTATTATGCCTGCATGTAGGTAAGTGCATCCATGTCATGCAATGCCCACAGAGGACAGAAGGGGCTGTTGGATCCCCTGGAACTGGAGTTATGGGGCAGTTGTTAGCTGCCATGTGGGTGCTGGGGTTCGAACCTGGGTCTTCTGCAAGAACAACCAGTGTTCTTAACCGCTGAGCCATCTCTCCAGCCCAGTTGTTTTATTTTTGACAGATGTTCAGACTACATAACTACCCAGGTAGTGGGGATCAGAAGCCATTTGCTACCTATTATTGTCTCTTTCTATTGGCAATCTCTTACCCTTTACAAAAAACAATTCACTCTGGATCAAAGACCTTAATTTAAAGGGCTGCAGAGATGGCTCAGTGGTTAAGAGAGCACTGGCTGCTCTTGCAGAGGACCCCCGTTTGAATCCCAGCACCCACATGGAGGCTGACAACCACCTGTAACTCCAGTTCCAGGAGATCTGATGCCCACTTCTGACCTCCGCAGGCATTGTACAACACAGGTGCACTTACCCACATGCAGGCAATACACTCATACACATAAAATAAAAAATAAAAGTAATAAATAAAATATTTTTTAAAAAGACCTTAATTTAAAACCAGAAACACTGACATTGCTAACGGAAAACACTTTGGGACGTAGGTATAGGCTAGAAATTTCTGAGTAGAATATCAGTAGCATAGGAATTAGTCTAAATAACTGAGAAATGGGCATCACATGAAATTAAAAAGCTTCTGTACAACAAAAGAAATGATCCACAGGGTGAACAGACAACCTACAGAGTGGGGGATTATCCTTTCTAGGTGTACTTCAGACAAGCATTAGTATCTTGAATATGTAAAGGACTACAAAAATAAACAAAAAATTCCACCACAAAGTGCTTATTAAGAGATGGACAAATGTTTACAAAAACAGTTACTATAAGAATAAATATGGAGGCTGAGAAGATGGCTCAGTCCCTAAATTGCTTTCACAAGCACAAAGACCTGAGTTCTGACCCCGGCATCCACGTAAAAAGCTGGTCACAGAGATGCCCATCTTTGTAATCCCAGCACTGGGGAGACAGGAGGAACCCTGGGACTTGTTGACCAGATAGTCTAATAAAATCAATCATCTCCTGGTTCAGTGAGAGACAGTGATTCAAAAAATATAGTGGAGGAGCCAGGGAGATGGCTTAGTTGGCAAAACTGCTTGTCATATAAACCCACTGACCTGAGTTTGGTTCTCCAGAGCCCATGTAAAGCTCAGGATGTGATACTTTATATCTGTAATTCCAGCTTCCCAAAGCAAAAAGAGAGGCAGGGACAGAAGAATCTCCAACAAACTTGGGGCCAGAAACAATGAGAGACTCTGGCTCAAGCAAGGCGAAAGGTGAGCACCAACTCCTAAAAGTTGTTCTCTCATTTCCACACATGTGCTCTGGTATATATGTACACACACACACACACACACACACACACACACACACACACGAATAGAGAGCAATTGAGGAAGACTCCCACATTGACCTTTGGCCTTCACACATACAAAAACATATGCACACATATACATACACACAATCATACACCACATGCAAAGACACACACATGAAGTACAAATGGTTGGTAGATAAATTTTTAAATAGGGTTCAACATTCTTTTCCAAATGCAAAATAAAACTACTTTAAGATTCTATCTCATCCCAGTAAGAATGTCTATTATCAAGAAAATGAAAAATGAATGCTGGTAAGGATGTCGGACAGAGGATTCTTCACACACTGTTGGTAGGAGTATAAAAACTGGTTCAGGTGTTAGAGATATGGCTCAGCAGTTAAGAGCACTGACTCCTCTTGCAGAGGACCCAGGTTCGATTCCCAGCACCCACATGGTGGCTATGAACTGTCCTTAATTCCAGTTCCAGGGGAATCCGAAGCCCTCTTCTGACCTCTGCAGCATTGCATGACACGGGTGCACTCACACACATGCAGGCAATACACTCCTACACATAAAATAAAAATAATAAATAAAATATTTTAAAAAACCAAAACTGGTTCAGCCACTATGAAAATCAGTGTGGTGGTTTCTCAAAAAATTAAGAATAGATCTGCCCCACCTATACCACTCCTGGACATATACCCAAAGAACTGTACACCCTATGACAGAGATGATTGCACATCTCTGTTGACTGCAGCTCTTTTCATAATAGCAAGGAGACAAAACCAGTCATCCATGAATGGATAACTAAGCTGTTACATATACACAATGGAATTTTACTCAGTAAATAAATTTTATTCAGAAAAATAAAATTTTGAAATTTACAGGAAAATGGGTGGAACTGGAAAACATTAGACCTATCCTCAATGTGAATAGCACGTTATCATGATCAAAGAAAAAGTGCATCTATTGCATCCTCCACTGACACCAGAATGCAGTTTCTCTGGCTGTAAATGTGGACTCAGTACCAGCAACTTCCCAGGATCTTCAAGGTTTCCACTGACAGATTGAGACTGCTGAGGCAGATGGCTTCCTGGACTGATGTTATCTGCGTCTTCAATGTGCAAATGGCTATTCGACTACTTAGTGCCTGTCACATAAACTAATCTATTATAATACAGCCTATTAATTATATAACACACAGTTACGTACAAATAATAAAAATATATATTCAATTTATTCCATACCTAATCTATTGATTCCTACCTAATACATGGTGATAATTAAAAGACAAAACGAAACTATTGTAAACTAATGTTCTTAACAGTGTTTAGCCTCCAGCCAATGCCATTTTTTCCTAGTCTGTCCCACCTTGACCTGGACATTGATAAATTATATATAAAGAGGTAACTCACTTATGCTCCCTTCTACTTACTCAATCCCTACTTGCTGCCTAGCATGGGTACATAACAATGTTCTTTTTTCCAATTTTCCAGTTCTAGTAGTTACATGTTAAACACAAAGTTCCATTAGTTAGCACCAAGAGCAAATAGCGCAGATGTTAAGAAAGGGCCCAAAGCAAGTTCTACAGGATGGGAAGAAGAACATGAACTGTCACATTGGCAGCATCATTGCAATTCCATCTGATTTAGAATGGAAAAGCCTTTGTTACAAACAAAGTAACAGAAAGGTGGCAGGTGAATTTCTGAATGAAACAATTCTCATAATTTCTTGGGCTCGTCTTCAACCTATAGAAAAGAAACATAAGTCTTTTGAAGTGTCTGAGGAAACCCTGGGTCAGTTCTGTTGGGTGCCCTGTACCCAGTCATCACCATCTTAGAGTCACGCACACCAGGGGTCATTTATTCTGCTCTACCCTTCACTCCTGGAAGTTTACAATCCTTCCCTCTTCCCAGGATTCCAGAGTTGGCCCCAGGCTCTTCTACAGGCCATGGAGGCACAGGACTCTAGAAGCAATGGCTACCTGTGTTCCCTGACATGATGAGAGGGATCATAGGAGCTGGGAGAAGCCCTGTCCAGAGAGGGGCTGAAGCCTGGTTGTCCAGACCTTCAGTGGGGTTGCAGACATGTTCTTTCTCTTGTTTATTGGCCTCTGGACTTCTGAGACTGGCACACATAAGGTGTGACAAGGGGGCCAACCATGTCCATTCTTGGTCAGCTCACCTGGGAGCAACAGCCTCTAGCAGTACCTCAGTTCCAGGTGTTTTCAGAGTCAACACTGCTCCAGGCAGCGGCTGCTAGATCAGCTCAGGAACTGGGTCTGCAGGAGGCTGGGTGCCATGGGCCTTGCCTTATGGCTGAGGCTAGATTCGCCAGGGTCCCCAGAAAGCTGGCCTCCTAACATCACTGTGGACAGGTTCTCCCTCATAGCTGTTCACCTCAACTGCTGTCACCCTGCCGTGTGCCGTGAAGATGTGGCCCTGAACTCCAGCCTTCTGAGTTGGGTCAGGAAGGGAATTCCCAGTCCCTCTCGCTGTGATCTCACACAGACTTCTCTAATCTTTGTGGGATGACATTCTCTTCCCTTCTATACATAAAGTGGGGCTTCAATGCCTGGAACCTTCAAACTTGGGGATTTTCCTTTTCTGTGTTCCTGATGTTTCCACATCGGACATCATGGGACCCAATTAGGGACCTGCTCTGACTCAGACACCTTGCTGTGGGCTCCTCTCCTTTCCCACTGGTCTGTGGAAGGAATGGTTTCTCCTCATCAAGACTGAGCACACACAAGCTACTGCTAGCAGGTGCATGAAGTCTGAGTCTCTTGTATCATTTCAGGATAGGATGATGCAGCTGAGGGACAAGGGCAGCACTCCAGGAATCTGCTTTTGCTTCCTCACTCCTCACCCTTCTGCCCCTTGCCTCCTTCCCAACACTGCCCACAATACCTGTCCCTGTGAAGAATTGTCTCAAGATGAGAAGCAGGAGGGAGCAGGTGAGGGGTATCAGCGGGACACAGGGTTTGGTTGTGATGGCTGTGGATGCTCGCTGGACCATGTCAGGAGTAGTGGTTGGAGGGGCTGAAATGGAAACACAGGTTCAGCCTTTGACCAGACCCAGACCCTAAATCTGATGATAGATCATCTTAGCTTCTGCTGCCTTTAGTAATCCAGCAACAGTCAGTTCCTCTCCCTTTGCTATGTGGCAGCAATCACAAAAGGTCTTGGTGTAGGAGGGGACAAGAAGGGGTGTCCTCTGTCCTCAAAAGGCTCATACACCTATTAGGGAAAGGTGGTAATGATGTGTGTAACACCATCCTTCCTGTAGGGAGAAGAGGAGATGACCTATATGGATGATGGTAGGGGAGGGCAAAGGAGATGGCAGGGTGGTGATTTCAAAGGATGTGCAGAAAGAGACCAGGTGAGATGAAAAAGAACAGTGATTCTAGAATGAGGAAAAGGCCTGTAAGAGAAAGAGGCTCACAGTGTGGCACTCTGGGAGAATCCCCAGAGAGTGAGCTAAATGTATAGGCAACGAATGGGATATGAGGAGGGGAGAAGGGATGAATGATGGGAAGAGGCCAGTAATTCAAGAAGAACTCATGGTTGTTGGCTCAAACATGCCCATGTGTACACACACGCGTGCACACACCCACACACACATCTGCAGAGAGCCGTACTTCCTCCCCTCTTTCCAGTTACCTGTAACGGATGCAGGCCATTCCTTGCAGCCTTCCACTGAGCTCCGCCATAAAAAGTCAGATAGATCCTTGTCATTTTCCCACTTATCTTTTATCCATGTGGATACAGGATGAGGTTCTGTCCACTTTCTACTGCCTGAGTCAAAGTGGAACATTTTCTGTCTATTGAGGCTGAAGACCCAGTATCCGTACGTGTGTCCATCACCTTTAGCCTGACAAAACATGGTGACCTGCAGGCTGAGGGGCTCTGCCCCCAAACAGAAAGAGATCAGTCTGTGGTATAGACAAATCCTTTGACTCCCTGTGCCCTCTTCATTCCCATCCTTAGCTATCTTTTAAAAAAACTTTTATGTGTATGAGTGTTATGCCTGTATGAATGTAAGTGTATCTGTGTCCTGCAGTGCTTGCAGAGGACAGAGGAGGCTGTTGGATCCCCTGGAATTGGAGTTATAGACAGTTGTTAGTCACCATGTGGGTGCTGGGATTTGAACCTGGGTCCTCTGTAAGAGCAGCCAGTGCCCTTAACTGTTGAGCCATCTCTCTAGCTCCCCGTCTGTCCTTATCTCTTGACCTGCTCTCTCCTCCACATTTGGCCTTGCTGCTGGACTCTAGGGTGGTACCATCCATGTTGTTTGCCATGAAAACAATGAACGACCCTCTCCTGTCACAAAACCTCTTTTTCCCTGCAGGGGTCATGTGAAACTTACCTCTGATTGTATTGTTCTCAGTCTCAAGGTTAAGCAGTTTCTCTTTGAACAGGTCACTCGCATCTTTTAGAAACTCACATGAGTTGTTAAACATCTGTGTGGCATTTATTCTATTCTCTGGAAGGCTACCGATTTTGCAGTTACTACCTCTGTTGTAGTCAAGAAAAACCTTTTTGTTCAGCAGGCCCTGGCCCCCATTCAACCATTGTCCAGATTCTGACTTATGGACAGTGAAGTTGTAGCAAAGAGAACCAACACCTGTGGAGAAAATGGGCAGTGAGGCCTGGGGTGGGGAGCAAGGGGTTCAAAGAGATTCCAAGAACATCTTTCTGGAAAGCTGAGCAGGCAGAAAAGGAAACAAGTCCTTGTCTGAGGCCCCCACTGCACCAGTTAAGGGCTAGTGCTTCTCCCTTGCTGGAAGAGGCTGGCCAAGGCTGACTGACCTCCTGGTGGGTTTGCACTCTGTGAGGGTCACATTCAGTCCGGGCACTCTCTTTAGACTTCCTCCAGACCGCTGTGGGGCTAGAGTCATCACCAGCAACTCCCGTCTGCCATCTATCCCTCCCATTCCTCTAGCCCATGTCTCAACCTCCCTCAGGAACTTTTTCTGTTACTTTTCAGCCTCTCTGAAGCAGGGAGGGGAAGGGGGCGGGGTGAGGTGGAGGACACTCAGTGGGAATCAGAACCGGTTCAAAGGAGCCTGCAGGGGCGGTGGGCAGCTGAGGAGCGGGGAGGAGCACCCAGCAGAGGGCCAGGAAGTACAGGACACGGGTCTCTGTGGTGTTCCCCGCCCCCGTTAGGCTCTGACACTCACCAGTAGGTGACGCCGCGCACGGACAAATCCACAGGACCAACAGCAGCAGCTTCTCAGCACAATGAATGAGCCGGGCGACCACAGCCCGCGCCATGGTTCCTCCTCTGGTCTTGCCCAGGACAAGTGTGACTTGAGCTTTCAAGAAAGGTGGGAAAGTCTGTCACTCCCTGAGGATGACCCGCACACAGAGTCACAAAAGTTCCAGAGACTACTCCTCCCTCGCCCGCTGTCACCAACCCTTTTCGAGTTCCCATAGTTTTCTCTAGAACTCCGGGGGCCACGCCCGAGTCCCGGTGGTTCTGGCCCGGCTCCCTGCAGCTCTGCCCCGCTCCCCGCGGACAGGATGAGCACCTTTTGTGCCCCACGCCCGGCCACGGATGCGGTGACCCAGAGCTGAGCCGCCCTGGCTCGGTGGCCTCCATGTCCCCAGCATCTGCATGCCCCGGGGTCCCTTCCCAGCTTACTGGCTCGGCGCTCTGGGACCCTTGGTACCAGGAGTACGAAGTTCGTGCTTTCCTCGTGCCACCTCAACCCGCCCGCAGGGAAGGAAGAATCTAAGAATCTCCGCTTACTGCAGCTTCCTTTCGGCGTTTCCGACAGTCTCCGCCCCTCAGCCCTTTAGAGGCGTGTCTGACTACTGCTCCCTCCCCCCAGTCATTCTCAAGCGCCACAGAGCAGTCACAGCCCGAGTCTTCTCCCTCCCAGGTCACCTGCCCCCCAACTCACCTGTACAGACTATCTCCCAACCACCACGTGTACCTCCTGGGTTCCCCTCTGACCACCTGCTCACCCTTTCCCACTCCCCACCCCCGTTCCCCTTCCCTACCTCATATCCCATCTCCATCCCAGACTCATCTGCTCCTCCACATCCCTCTTGACCGGGTTGGCCCAGCACTTGCCCCTCGCCCCAGCTCCCCGCTTTCCACGTCCCTCTCTAGTCCTCCCCTTTTCTCTACTCCCCTCCCTCTGGCTTCCTCCGGATTAAAGTCACTTCTTAGCTATCCTTTCAGCAAGGCTGTGCTTTTCTAATTAACTCTGTCACAGTGGCAGCCAAAACCATCCTGAAAGTTCTGCAATCAAATAACTCTTAGGGGCTAGAGAGATGGCTCAGCTGTTAAGAGCAGTGGCTGCTCTCGCAGAGGAACCGGGTTCGATTCCCAGCACCCACAGGGCAGCTAACAACTGTCCATAGTCAGTTCTAGGGGATCTGACGTCCTCTTCTGGGCTCCGCAGGCATTACACGGCACGGATGCACCTACCTACATGCAAGCAGTACACTCATACGCATAAAATAAAAACAGTAGCCGCACTGGCTGCTCTGAAAAGCCATCTTTGCATTGTTCTGGGTCCTGGCTCCGTGCTCCTGCAGTTCTCTCTCGAGAGTCCTCCAACCCTCAGGCTCACGCTCACGCTTTCCTTCTCCTGCTGCATCCGATCACCCGCGTGCCCCATCAAGTCAGACGCGGCCTTGGACACCAGCTCCGAGATCACTACCAAGGACTTGAAGGAGAAGACGGAAGTTGTGGAGGAGGCAGAGAATGGAAGAGCCACACCTGCCAACAGAACACTAGTGAGGAAAATGGGGAAGGAGGCTGACAATGATGTAGATGAAGAAGAGGAGGAAGGTGGGGAGGAAGAGGAGGAGGTAGGTGATGGTGAGGAAGAGGATGGAGATGAAGATGAGGAGACTGAGGCAGTGCCGTGCAAGAGGGCAGCTGAAGATGATGAGGATGAGGATGTTGATACCAAGAGGCAGAAGACCGAAGAGGGTGACTAGAGAAGTTAAACTTTAAAAGGCCGTGGTGACTTACTCACCCTCCACTTCCTATCTCAGAATTTAAATGTGATCACCTTCGAGCAGAGAGGCAGTGCCACTGCAGATGACATGCGCGACCACCCCACCAAAACCCCAAAGTGAATTTGCAACAGGGGAGGAAAAAACAAAACTTCCAAAGCCCTGCTTTTTTTCTTAAAAGTACTTTAAGAGGAAAATTTGTTTGTATTTTTTATTTACCTTTTATATTTTTTTACATATTGTTAGAGGTCAGCCATTTTTAAAGATAACAGGTGACCAAACCAGTCTTTGGATTTTACTTGTGGTGTGACTATGTTCATTATAATCTCAAAGGAGAAAAGAAACCTGTAACAAAAACAGCAACAAAACAATTTTATTCTGAGCATTCCAGTAACTTTTTTGTGTGTATGTACCTAGCTGTACTTTAAATAGTTGGTGTGTATGAGATAGTTTAAAAGGCCAAAGATAAAAGGTTTCTTTTTCCTCCTTTTTTTGTCTATGAAATTGCTGTTTATTTTATTTTGGGGTGGGGGGGTACAGCGCTGTTGGATGTATATGTGAATCAATGTCCACAATAAACCAGGATTTTATTCAAAAATAAAATATAAAAAAGTCTTTTAATTAAAAGCAACATCTACTTAGAAAAATTTCAGGGCCTCAGCAGCAAATGTGTAAAATTGCTGCCAATTGTGTGTGTGTATGTATGTGTGTGTGTGTGTGTGTGTGTGTGTGTTTATAAATGTGCAGTTGTGTGTCCTGTGTGGGGGTACAGGTAAACAGGTGTTTATTATGGTACATATCTGCATGTTTGTGTGTGTTTATGAAGGTGCAGTTGTATGTCATGTGTGTGGGTGCAGGTAAACAGGTGTTTATTATGGTACATATTTGTGTGTTTGTATGTATGTGTACCTTTAGGCCAGAGGTAACTCAGGTTATGGTTCCTCAAGTGTCATCCACCTTGTTTTATGAGGCAGGGTCTTTCACTGGCCTGGAGCTCTCTGGTAGGCTAGACTGCCTGACCAGTGAGCCCCAGATATCTCCTGTCTCTTACTCCCCAGATCTGGAATTACAGGCGCCCTTACCACTGCCAGGCTTTTTAGGTGGGTTCTGGAGCTCAAACTCAGGTCCCTATGTTGCAGTTGGCATTAGCAATCTAGGAAGAAAGTTGGGTTCATTTTCTAGTCAATTAAGAAATGACAAGGCAGGGCAGTTGGCTCAGCCATTAAGAGCACTGGCTACTCTTGCAGAGGACATGGGATATTTTTTCTTTTTTAAAAAAATATTATTTTTATTTTATGTGTATGAGTGTATTGCCTCCATGTGTGTGAGTGCACCCGTGTTGTGCAATGCTGCAGAGGTCAGAGAGGGCTTCGGATTCCCCTGAAACTGGAGTTAAGGATGGTTCGTAGCTGCCATGTGGGTGCGGGGAATTGAACCTGGGTCCTCTGAAAGAGTGGTCAGTGCTCTTAACTGCTGAGCCATCTTTCCAGCCCCTAAAATATATTTTTTTAAAAAGCTGTGAGTGTCATGGAAAGGCCTCTTAGCTGTTAGGAGAGGGTGTGTGGACACAGGATTACTACACAGTCGTGTTTTTCTGCAGTCTCAATTGTTAGGTTCAGACTAGGAGAGCCTAGTTTGGGTCAGATTCACAGGCCTAGTATATCCAGGAAAAAACGACTGATTTGTCCAGTGATGGATTCTACAACCTCTATTGGAACTTCAGATTGTGCCTATGACTGCTTGTAGAGGGGCCTTGAGGCTGTGGGTGTAGCCTGGCCTCTGAGTGTTTAGTTATTTTTTAAAAATAATTTATTGAGGGGAGGCGGAATCTATACCTTCCCCGGCCGCCCAGCAACAGCAGAACTGCCGGAGAGCTGGTCTTCCCGGAGCAAGCGGGGCGGAGGCAACCCGCGGAGCTGCAAGAGAGAAGAGTCTGCGTGTGGACGGCCGCGTGGGGAGCTATTGCCTGCAAGAAAAGACGTTTGGTTTTCACAAGCCAAAGATGTACCGAAGTATAGTTGGCGGCTGCATCTGCAGAGCCAAGTCCTCCAGTTTGAGGTTCAGAGACCGTAAGCGTTATGAAAAGGACTTCCAGAGCCGTTTTGAGTTGCACGAGACCTGCTCAGGAGACATCTGCAATGCCTGTGTGCTCCTTGTGAAAAGATGGAAGAAGTTGTCGGCAGGATCAAAAAACAAAAAACAAAAAACCAAAACTGGAATCATGTGGTAGATGCAAGGGCAGGACCCAGTCTAAAGACAGCATTGAAACCAAAGAAAGTGAAAACACTGGAAACAGGATGAAAAGCAACCAGATCAGTAAACTGCAGAAGGAATTTAAACGTCACAATTCTGATGCTCACAGTACCACCTCAAGTGCCTCTCCAGCCCAGTCTCCATGTTATAGTAACCAGTCAGATGGTGGCTCAGACTCAGAGGTGGCTTCCAGCTCCAACAGAACTCCAGTCTTTTCCTTTTTAGATCTTACGTACTGGAAAAGACAGAAGATATGCTGTGGGATCATATTCAAAGGCCGTTTTGGGGAAGTCCTCATCGACACACATCCCTTCAAGCCGTGCTGCAGCAGTAAGAAAGCAGCTGCTGCAAAGCCGGCGGAAGCAGGGGCCAGAGCCTCTGTCGGTCTCCACGTCGGAGTGGTGACTGGGGTTACGTAGAAGGGAGCAAAAAGCAGCTTACATTTTTAAAAGGCCATAAAGCAACAAACTGACCCTCCTGTTTTTGACTTGGATACCTACTATTCTGCCACAAGACATTTTCTAGAATAGTTTTTATGGGTTATTTTCTTTCCCTAGTCCAGCAAACTGAAGCCAGTGTCTAGCTTACTGCAAGAAAAAAAGAAGTGTACATAATATTTAAGATGCTGAGTATTTCATAGGAAAGCTGAATGCTGCTGTAAAGTGCTCTTTAAGTCATTTCTTTTTTATCCCCTTCTAATGAATGAAATTAGGGGGATTTCAGGGGACAGAGATGGGCTTTGTATGATAAACCCTGTGTAGTTGTAGTCTTTCTATATGGAGAGGCAGTGGTTGGGGCGGTTTTTAAGATGGCTGACTACATGTTTTCGCTCAATAATTTGTCACAGCTCAGTAGCATGGTCTTCCCCTAGAGGTAGCTATTCTGAAATACTAAGGTCCTGCCAGGACTCAGGCCTATACTACTGATTATTTAGGACAGATGAGCTTTCTGCAAATAGCTTGAGGGAGGAAGCGATGTCTTAACACACAGGTAGCTTCCGGCATGGCCTCCCTTCATCCTAGTATTTGGTAAGATTTATGTGAAAATTAAAGCAGAACCAGAGCTTCTGGGGAAAGGCAAGCCTGTAGGGTAGACGAGGTCCCATAGTGCCAAAGGCAAGCCTGTAGGGTAGACGAGGTCCCATAGTGCCAAAGCATCAGCACATGGTAGAGAGCACGCTTAGAAATGCTAAACTAGCTAAACAAACACGCAGGTCCTCAGGGTGGTATGGAATGCAGTTGATACTCTTGGGGCACACTGCTTAGAGGACTTGAGGTGTGTAAATAATTGACATTGGTGTTGACTGGGATTCATTGAAATCCATACAATTCAGTTTTAGCTCTGGATTACCTCAGTTGACCTTTGTGGAGGTTTTCTCTGTAGAGTAGCTGTTTGACTTGTTATAACCTTTTTTGGGTTTTGGGTTTTGTTTTTGTTTTTTGTTTTTTGTTTTTTTTTCTTCCACTATTTAAAGTTCACTAGAACAGGTGTGTTAAGGCTAAGGTGGTTGGTTGGATTTGGCTTGGAGTTGGACTTCTGGGCATCATGAGCTGAGTAAGGAGCTCCTCACAGCAGATCTCACTGTGGGCTCCTCAGTTGAACCCAGCCAACCTAGCCAAGACTCTCTGTTGCCTCTTTCTAAAAGTTCAGGAAAAATAAAGCGCCACTTCAGACTTCTCATTGAGGGAGGGGCACGTGCCTGCCTTAGGGTTCCTTGACTCGTGCTTATTTTAAAAACTGGATTTTTAAAGTCAGATAGTATGTCACAATAAAGGAGTGAGTGAGCCACTTTTTATGGGCGCCCGTCGTTTTATAGTTCTACATTGTGTAGTTCTTCCTGTGGGAACAAACCTACCTAGTACAAGCCACCATGCGCAGACTGCCCAGCGAGCCGGGCAGCTCTTCACACCTCTGTAGTTCAGAGTCCAGCCATTACCATCCCCGAGTTACTTTGTCATGGTTTTTGTACATTTTGGCTGCAGTATTGGTGGTAGAATATACTGATGGATCATCTCTTTCTGTATTTATTTATTTATTACTAGACCTCAACCACAGTCTTCTTCCCTCCACTCTCTGCCTGTAGGATGTACTGTATGTAGTCATGCACTTTGTATTAATATATTAGAAATCTACAGATCTGTTTTGTACTTTTTATACTGATGGATACTTATAATCAAAACTTTTACTGGGGTATTGAATAAATTTAGTCTTATTAGAAAATAAAAAAAATTATTGAGAATTTCATAGAGGCATATAAGCATATAAGGTGTTTTGATCAAATCCATGCCCATTCCCTCCCTTCTAACTCCTCCCATATCTCCCCATCACATTTTTCTGATAACTTCATGTACTCTTTCTCCTCCTCTTCCTTCTTCTCCTTCTCCTTCTTCTTTTTTTATTGGGCTTTTTGCTACTCTAACATTCCCCCCTCTGAAGAGGTGGTAAACTTAAAATCTTTTAAGGATTAGATAAGAGCTCCCAAATACTTTGATATTTTTGGCCTTTGGAATGGGGTATGTTGCTAAGAGGCCCAAGGACATTTTGACTTTTAGCCAAGAAACTGGCTACTTTTCTTTGGGGTTGTTTTACACTAACTGCTTAGGTGTTTAGTTATTTTAAAATCTTGTCAGTAAGTGCTCAGAGGTCTGCTTGCCTCTGTGAGGTATATACCGAAAGGACTATAAAGCAAGTGTATTTACTAGTGTTAAAAATGTGTTTTATGGAGTAAA